AAATCTAAAATAAAATCCATTTAAACGTTAAGTATAAATCATCCAAACAGAAATAGGAATCAATCAGCTTTAATTTTTAGCCCATCTGGTGCGAGTGCAATTTAATTCAACTAGGTAGCACAGCCAGTTGTCAAACAAAAATTCCAAAATACTGACTGAAATCTACATATATATGCTACTTAAGTCAATCACAAAAAAGCTCTCTTTTACATAAACGCAACATTTTTCTTGTGCTAGCTACTTAAGTATTTTAGTCCCTGTTGATGTATATAGTCAACAAATCACAGGACTTGCACTGGCTAAAATATAGCGGATACAGAGATCATGGAAATGAGCAGGCAACAAGAAGTTGGTATGCTTCTTACTTTGTAATCAATGACTGTAGGTTAATTGAACGTTGCAGCTTTTGGGTGCTGATCAATTTAGCCCACTTTCTACCTTTTTGTGTTTAAACAAGTTTTTCCCTAGTAATGTACCTACTCTAAACTTCCAGCATGGGCTTCTGATGGCAAAATTACTCCAATAATGTTGAAAAATGAAATAAAACATAATAAGTGCTCCCAGACCAATTGCAGTCATCATACTGACTAAGTAGTGGAATGGATATGCCATTGGCGGATCATCAACATAGATCTGATGAAAAGTAAACATAACATCATGTTTAGTAATTACCAATATTTATGCAGTTTGTATCATGAATTTGAAATAACATCTGCTTAAACTGAAAATATAAACCATTTAACCAGATAAAGGAAACATTCTACTTTATTCAGTTGTTCATTAGCTTGCCAAGCCGGCTGTTGTGTGGTGTGCAGACGTTTCGTTACCCTTCTAGGCAAAATCATCAGTGCGACCTCTAATCGAAGCATTAGTGTTCTGCTTCCTTCTCTATTTATATGACCCTCTGGTGTGATTGTCTTGTTGCTTCTAGTTCTGTTGTTTTAGCAACGGTCTGTATACGGCGTCGATTTCAATGTGTTTTTTAGTGGAGTACGGAGTTGAGAACCAGGCTTCCAGAAATTCCCTTGCACATCTGCTTGTCCTAGCATGGTCACTTTGTCCCAGTCAAACTGATGGCCCTCATTGTCTGTGTGTATTGAGACAAGTGAATATTGGTTGTGCTTTTTTTTACCGCCAGTTGGTGTTTGTGTATGCTGGTCATCAGCTTCCTCCCTGTTTGTCCAATGTAATGTTTATTGCACCTGCTGCATTGTATTCTGTGCACAGATTTAACTACAGCCACAGGGAGGTGAGAAAAATGGATTTCCTAGCAGCACAGAGTCAACACTGAAAACCAATGGACTCACTGACGAAATTCAACAGGCCATCAGACAAACGGTCATCTCAGCACTTAACCGTAGACACGAATCAGACACCTTCAGCACAACAGAGAGAAAGGCCCTAGAACGACTGAAGAATGATAAAAAAAATCACAATCCTACCAGCGGACAAAGGATGAATGACGAATGTTCTGAACAGAACAGACTACATTGAGAAAGCACAGGCAATACTCGCAGATGCAACCATATACCAACAGGTGGTGTCAGACCCCACACCACAGTGAGGGAACAGGATAACCCAGACACTCGAGAAACTTAAACATGCAGGAGAGATCACCAACACCAACTACATCAGAATGAAACCAGATGGCTCAAACACCTCTCACTTCTATGGTCTACACAAGATACACAAACTTGGAATGCCACTCAGACCAATAGTCTCCTTACTGGGCACACCTGCACACAAACTAGCAAGAGAATTACAACGGAGACTCAAACACCTGATTAGCGGATCCCCACAATCAATCCATTCAGCCCAAGGATTTCTCACACAGCTCAAGGGACACAAAAATTGAAGCGGACAAAAACATCATCCCCTTCAATGTTACAGCACTATTTACATCCATTGATGCACCATTAGCCAGAGAGACACTAGCCACACTACTAGACGGAACAGGAGTACTGACCCTGAACACCAGCAACATCAGCAAGGACAGCTTACTGAAACTGCTAGATTTATGCCTCACAACGCACTTCATGTTCAACAGACAGATCAACAGTACACTGCTGGGGTCACCCGTCTCAGGTCTTATTGCGGAAGCAGCAGTACAGAGATTGGAGCACACAGTCCTTTCTATAATCCAACTGAAACTGTGGATAAGGTACGTGGATGACACATTTGTAATAATCAAACGCACAAAAGTAAAGAAACCTACCAACTTGTCAACAACATCTTCGCAAACATATATATCAATACAGAGGAGGAAAACAATAAACAGTTCTCATTCTTAATGGTAGAGAGACCGATTAATGGAAAATTCCAGACCTGAGTATACAGGAAGGCAACACACACAGACCAAAACCTTAACTTCAATAGCAACCACCACCATACACAAACAGAGTTGCATCAAGACACTATTTAAATGAGCCGCATCACACTGCAATGCCCCAGAACTCCGGAGAATGGAAGAGGAACCCACCTACAGAAAGTTTTCACCGACAATGGATACCCTAGAAGTTTCGTCCACAGATGCCTACAAAACAAATGACTGTCAGAGGACACAGTACAAAAGAAGACACTAGCAACGCTACCCTAAATCTAAACTATATCAGAAATGACTACCAGACTCCTAAGACCGCATAAGATCATGATTACCCACAAACCTACAGCAACTCTGCACTAAATGTGATCAAAGACTAAAGGCCCCACACTGACAATAAACAAGACCAAAGTGATATACAGAATACCATGCAGTAGGTGCAATAAACATTACATTGGACAAACAGGGGAGAAGCAGATGACCAGGATACATGAACACCAGCTGGCAGTAAAAAGACATGATCAATATTTACATGTCTCAATACACACAGACAATGAGGGCCATCAGTTCAACTGGGACAAAGTGACCATATTAGGACAAGCAAACACCAGACATGCAAGGGAATTTCTGGAAACCTGGTTCTCAACACGGGACTCCATTAACAAGAACATAGAAACAGACCCCATATACAGACCACTGCTAAAACAACAGAACCGGAAGCAACAAGACCATCACACCAGAGGATCATATAAATCAGGAAGGAAGCAGAACACCAATGCTTCAATTAGAGGTCGCACTGATGATGTTGCCTGTAAGGGTAACGAAACGTCTGCACACCACAGAACAACCAGCTCTGCGAGCTAATGAACAACTGCATCCACAACCCGAGTTACAAATTTTCGCTAAGACATTAAAAATTCTACTTTATTATTTGTCCATCTGCAAGTTATTAATGTCCTTCTGTAAATTGTTTAATATTGACTATTCCCCCAGAATAGAGTTTCACCCTAGTTTATTCATTCATTTTTTTTAATATTTCAGAGTCACTTATCTTATTTCTTATCACATCATTCATTGTCAATACCACTTTTTCTGTCTCCCTGGTAAATACCAAAGTGAAATAATTAATGAATATTTCTGTGATTTCACAACTGTTACTTCTGCGTTTACCCTTTAATTGTTCAATATCCACTGCAGTCTTCCTTCCTTTATCGATATAAGAGTAAAATATTTTATTATTTTTCTTTATGTTTCATGATAATTTAATTTCACGGTTGTTCTTTGCTTTCCTAATTGCGGTCGTTGCCTTCTCTCTTAAAGTCTCATGCTAAACTCCACTATTGTCTATGTCCTTAACGTATGCCTATTTCTTAATCCTCATCTTGAAGTGTATTGTATTATGGTAACTGTTGACTAGACACTCCCCTAATTTAATTTGTTTTATCTGCCGTGGCTCCATACTTTATATGTTTTCTTCATAGAACATTGAGTAAGTAAATGTGTTTGAACAGAATTACTGGGTGAGAAAGTTGTACATGAAATAGTTCAATTGTAACTGTGCAGAGTTACAACAACTTCTTGAAGGCAGCTACTACTGCACAATCCACAAGACTCTTTTCTCTATTTATATTCCTGAAGAATGCTGTGCAGGCTGCATAAGCAGTAATGCTGCCTGCTCCTCAGGAACAAATTTTAACCTGCATCCTAAGCATTCCAACAGAATTTTAGTCTCCTATAAATATGTGCCGGAAAATATACATAAATACACTATAAGAAGCTTTACTAATTCATCTAACTGGAGGCATTTTGAAATTTAAATGGATTTATGTTTGGAGCTAACTATTATATGTCAAGTTTATTGCATAAGTGCATTTATGAACTTATTGGTATAAATGCTTATAACTATTGTAAGCGGTGCTCTAAAATACTTTCAATGTTAAAGCTGACATAATAGTTGGTTACTTTTTTCTCTTTTTATTTCGTCACTTTTCATGAGAATGATGAGAATAACTGCTATTCAGCTGCTCACACCGTATCAAGATACATTTTTTGTTTCTTCATCCATTACCACTCATTTTGGCTTTTGTATCATGAAATATCATATTATTTCATTTCTCTGCCTTCCAACCTGTCAGACACCTTCACTGTTTTATTGTTCCCTCCTCACCCACTGCCATCCTCACTTCTTCCACTTGTTCAAAACCCAATTGTATTTCTATCATCCCATAGTTATGATGAAAGGTCCTGACCTCAAAAGTTAACTCTCTTTCTCTCCTCAGTTTCTGTTTGACTGGCTGAGACAATTTCCATTTTTATTTTTATTTACAATAAACAATAATTGTTATTTGAAACTGAAAAATGCTCACTCTGAGTGCACAATCTAGTACCAGATTCTGACAAGCTGAATATAGAAACAAACTTTCATGCCACTTTTCTTGGTCACTAAGACTCCTAATAATGGGGTTAAATAAAATTCTTAAAGAATGGAATGCATATTTCACAAGAAAGACATTGAATTGTCATTGGCATGCTAGTGCATAGAGCAGTGATTGGAATGATGTCAGCCAGGTGGATCTCAGAGAATCTCAGCTCTCTGATCGGGGCTGTTAAGCTGGTCCAATCGGTGAGTCCTGGTTAACAAACATAAACAGGAGTGTCAGGGGTTCTGCTCACTCTAGGAAGCAACTCTGTGTGAGCTAGGTCAGTGTCATGCACTATGCATGTGTAAAATATTGGTAACTTGGTGACAGGATACAGGCTTTTGCAGTGATTTCAAATAGTACCTTGAAAGTGGAGTTGCAGGTAGGAGAAAGCCATTTAGCACACTGGCATTCAGTGGTCATAATATTGAGTATAGAGGTTTGGAATGTCATGTTGCAGCTATACAGACCATTGGTGAGGCTACTTTTGGAATACTGTGTACAATTCTGGTTGCCCTGCTATAGGAAGAATGTTGTGTAACTTGAGGGGGTACAGAAAAGATTTACAAGATGTTACCAGGACTGGAAAACTTGAAATATAGAGAGAGGCTGAATAGGCTAGGGCTTTCTTTCACTGGTGAGTCAGAGACTGAGGCATGACCTCATAGAGGTTTATAAAATGATGAAGGGCATGGATGGGGTGAATAACTGAGATCTTTTTCATAGGGTGGGTTAGTCCAAAACTAAAGGACATAGATTTAAAGTGAGAGTGGACAGATTTAAGAAGAACCTGAGGGGTAACTTTTTACACAGAGGGTGGTGCATGTATGGAATGAGTTGCCAGAGGAAGTAATGGAGGTAGGTACAATTACAACATCTAAAAGGCATCTGGATAGGCATATGAATAGGAAGGGTGCTGGCAAATGTTGGCAAATAGGACCAAGTCAGATTGGGATGTCTGGTTGGCGTGGACAAGATGGACTGGAGGCTCTGTTTCTGTACTGACTCCATGGTGTGTTTTGATGCCTTCATTATATTTAAAGACTTTAGACTTATGAGAAATGGTACTTTTTTGAATATTACAGAATTCTTGTGAAATTAATAAGCATAGTGTGAGACCACATGGTAGAAAAACAATTTTCCTTCTTGATCAGGACAAACAAGTCATGATGACGATACCCTTGATCATGTTGCTTTGCACTACCACCATGCTAATTTGGGTAGATTTTGAACAACACTACCACAACACTAGCATTGGCCCAACGATGTAGAAAAACTGTTGATAATTTGAGCAAGATGTTAACTCCCCAGCATGGTTTTGCACCAGAAACCTGATGGCATTTAAACTCCAGGATCAGATCTATCATGCAGTTGAGTCAGAAGTCCTAACTCCATGATTCCAGTATGCCTCTTCAAGTGAGACTCTCAAGGACTCTTTTGCAGGTAAGTATGTCTCTTTGCACAAGATGTAACAGGCACTATTTGTATCTCAATCTGTAATTAGGGCAGGAACATTCACATTCTCAAGACCTGTTCCTAATTCCAATCCATCTGATGTGTGTGACATTTTAAAGGATGGGTGGAAGTTCTGTGCTTTACAAGGATCCATAGGAAGTCCTATGCAAAGCCAGAGGCTTTGTGTGAGGCTTCTGGAGTATAATCCAGCTTCTCACTACATTCTATATGCATCACTTTCATAATACTAACTACATGGCTGATTAGGAATACAGGCTTGCTGACAAAGACAGATCAGTAACCTTTAAATTAAAGCTGATGGCTATTTCAGGAGCCAACCTAAGTATCAGCCACAGAATATAAATTGATATATATTCCCTGCAGATGATGTCACTAGAATGACTTGATGTTCTAATCAAAGGACTTCCATATAGTAAAAGGTTAACTTTTTCAAATTAAGATTTCTCCTGGTTTAATGTCTTTAAAGGTGACTATTTGGAATTAGATGTCTTTCCCTCTTTCTGTTGATAAAAATATTTAAAATATCCAAACAAAATTGCATTACCTGAAATTCCTCAACCAAGTTACAGAACGATACTCCGGAAATCACTTTTACTCTGAAATGGTACAGTTCTGAACCCTACATTGTAGGAAACACAACAATGAAATAAAGCAAAATAATATAATTTTGTGACAAGAATAATATTGATGCTATGTGCTCACATTATAGTGTAAATTGTCAGCAACCACTGGTGTCCAAACTTGCAGTTAAACATGGAAGTCCAGCAGCTAATATCCCAGATAAATACTCTTCCATAGCCTACCCTGTAACAGTTCACGCTAATAAATGCCACACCGAAATCAATACAATGTAATGAATTTGAGGTATTTGCTCACTAATGGGCCAGTTAAGTCAGTTGGCTTGACTGCTGGTTTGTGCTGCAGAGTAATCCCCTCAATCAATTCTAAGGGGTGGAAAATGCCAATTAAACTTGTGTTCCTCAGGTTCCTACCATGACTAACCCCAGGCCCAGGGTCTGACTGCATCTTCTATCTATTTCCTTCACAACCCAGCACTTTTGGGACCATTCCTGTGATCATTTGGAAATTTTGTCCATTTTATCATGTGCCACAACAATTCAGAACTTGCACGGATTCTAGTATAAGTCAGAGATAAATTTAAGAATAATAATTTTCCATTGTAATTGATTCTAGTGGATAGAATTCGGAGATCATAGTTTTTGCTTAAATAATCAAAGGCAAAATGTTACTTACAAATAAGCTGATAGTTAATCCATCTGGATTGTGCATGTTTATGGATGATCCAAAGTATTTTCTTAATTTGTCAAAACTCGGAGTAATCTTTGTACCTAAACAGAACACAAATATCATATAATCATCAAAATCTGTTATAACTGACATTGAGATCTAATTTAAAAATCAACTACAAATATACTCTTTTACTTCACCATTGGAACCATTTCTTTAATCTCTAAGAGCTAAAAGAAAAATTGGTAAGGGTAGCTCTCTTCAATTGCCTGCATTATTTTTCAGCACGTAGCTGCGCTAATTCCTAGAACAGGTATTGACAATCTGCACAGTCATAAATAAGTAGAACAGGCAATCTTATCCCCTTCTTCAATTTCACATTTGTTCTTTTTTGGTGAAGGTGGAGAGTTGAGTTTGTGACTTTAACTGGTTAAGGTTTATCCTCGTTGGGTGCACTCAGCAGGGATCTGTCAAGATAGATGTTTAATTTCAATATTTCCTGTTTGTTTTCCTACATGGGAAACTCTGAAAAGAGCTCTTCTAGTGTTAGTGAACTCGATTTGTCTTGTTGGACTTTCACAGACTTCTCACTTATTCGAGGTTAATTCATTTAGAAATCTTCACTTTTCTACAACCAAGTATGTTTCTACAATTGGTAACCACTTTAGATACTTCCATGTTTGTAATTTTCTTTTCACAGCAGGAGCAATGCACCCATTTGTCAGGCAGATATTAATTGGTTTAAATAAAAATAGTTATATTGAAAAAGACATTTTCCTCCGTCTACTTCCTGGACACAAAGCTACGGAATAAAGCAGTGATGCACCACTTTGTTGATACCAAGCCCTCTTTTCTGATCCCTGCCTTGACTGCTAAAATGCTGTTGGTTTGTGACCTCTGTGTTTCAGATCTCCTGAGGATTTGGCCAAAGTCTGCCAAACTGCTCCTGTCCAGGCCTTGGCTATGCTTGACTGTTGGAACATAAAGCAACATGTCAGAAAGTCGCAGGACTCTGATCACCGTTACTACTTCCTGTTGGTCTATGCCTGCTACGTTGGTAGATTCCATAACTCCTATATCCTAGCACAGTCCTGTATACTCAGTGCTTTTGAGAGTCCAACTGCCTTTACAAGGCTACTTGCTTGGGGGCAAGGATTACCCACTGTGATCATGGCTCATGTCACCATTGTGCAACTCCTTCACTGATGCAAGTGTTAAAAGCTGCCCAAGGCCATGGTGGAGCTGAAGATGCGCATCCACTGCTTGGATTGATCTGGTATTGCCCTCCAGTATAGTCTGGACAGACTGTGCTGTGTCATCCTGGTGTGCTGTTCTCTTGGAACAGGCAATGAGATAAAGTGCTAAATGCTGAAGAACTAGAGAAATGGGAGCAAACTTCCAAGGAGAGGGAAAAAGACATTGGGATGGAGGAAGTTGTTGTCCATGACAGACCTCAGCTGTTTTGGGTGCTACAAGCCAGAAAGGACCTTATTGACACCTCCTTCCAATAGATGACAGCTGCCAGCAGCAAAACATCATGGACAGTAAAATATTCATTGGTCATGATGCCAAAATCTGATTTACACATTGTGGGAGTGAGCTTTAGCATCAATTGGTTTTGTTTGTATTCATTTTTGCTGTCTGTAAATAAAAGTTCATATTTGTATTTGTCTGATTGCTTGCCTGTATGTGATGTTACCCTACTGAACAATGACAAACTGAGAGTGTCCAGTAAGCACTGGGCACAGGGTGGTGCTGACTTAAAGGGTGTTCAGATGGGATGAGGTTAAGGACAGTTAATGTGTGTGGGGTAGTGGTTAAGTAGCAACTAGGATGATACAATGAGGTTGTACATGAAAAGGACTGTCAATCATGCCAGCTATGTGACATATTTAGTGAAGCCTTATGGCTGCTGCACAATGAGTTGCCAGTGAGGGGCAATGATAGATTGCCACGGATCGTCTGGGTGCACAGCAGCCTTTCAAAGATGGAGCAGGCAGAAGGAATGCACCAACAATCTGTTGGTTGGCAGGTTGTTCTGGGAATGGCACATGGGGCTCAAACTGGATGTGATGGCACAATTGGGACAGGGTAGGTAGTTAATGTGATGAATTTGTAAGTATGATGAAACTACCCTGCTAGGCTGCATGGTGAAAATCCCTCCAAACAAACTCGATAGAGCTCATACTTGGCAAAATGAAAGTATAATTAAAGCTAATGTTTCTGGTCATTCGTAGTCATTAACATTGGTGTAGGCCTCTTAAGTCTATGGTCGCAGTTGACTCTCAACTTCAGCAATACTGTGGATCTTAGTAGTACTAATGACGTAGGAAGCTAGTAAGGTTCTGCCTGTCAGTACAAAAAGGATGCACTTGTAGCTACTTCAGCATAGCTGCAAATTTACATATTTACATGAGTGAATGTAGCGTCTGGGATATTTGGTGGGTGGTGATTTTATGAGGTGCCTGTAAATGAGGTCGAGATGTTAGTTTATTTTTACTGTTTTACGTTATCACATTTGTGTTTACTGTAATGCATCATAAACTTTATTTCAAAGCTCTACGACTTGCTTTTTTTTTTATATCTACCGCCTGTCTAGTGGTCTCTTGTCTTCTGAAGAATGGAATAATAAGAGTAAAAGATTAGCAATGGATATTTGTGAGAGTAATAATTTGTTGTTTGGGAAACTTCCTTATAACTTGTGCTGGATTGTGGGGCCAAAATGGAGACTCATAAACTATATGGCTACATAATCTCAGATTATATGAAGTATGCCTGAATCAGTCCTGCCTGGAAGTCTCTGGAAGCTAAATGAATAAACATAGCAATGCTAGAGATAACAAGGTGTAGAGCTGGATGAACACAGCAGGCCAAGCAGCATCAGAGGAGCAGGAAGGCTGTCGTTTCAGGCCTAGACCCCAGTGCACCTGGATTTGTCTGGGCATATGAATCGCATATTTAGCAACCTAGTACAAAGAACAAAGAACAGTACACTGCAAGAACATGCCCTTCAGCCCAACAAAAGCATGCTTCGACACAGGAAACTTTTTCTAAACTAAAAGCCTTTAGCCTCCACACAGCCCATATCCCTCTATTTCCTGCCTAATCATGTATCTGTCAATATGACTCTTAAACGTTGCCATTGTATCTGCTTCCACCACCTTCTCTGCAGCGCATTCCAGGCACTTGCCACCCTCTGCATAAAATATTTGCCTCTCACATCTCTTTTAAATTTTCCCCTTTTTATCTTAAACCTATGTCCCTTAGTAATTGACATTTTTACCCTGGGAAGAAGATTCCAACGATCCATTCTATCTATGCCTGTCATAATTTTGTCAGCTTCTATCTGTGCACCCTTCAGCCTCTGAAGATGAAGTTAAAACAAATGAGTTTGTCCAATCTTTCCTCATCGTTGATACCTTCTAACCCAGGCACAGTCCTAGTAAAACCATTTCTGTACCCTCTCCAAAGCCTCCATATCCTTCTGGTAGTGTGGAGACCAGAATTGTATGCAATATTCCAAATGTGGCCTAACTAAACTTCTATACAGCTGCAACTAACTTGCCAAGTTTTAGCTGAAAACAACAAATGCTGGAGATTACAGTGGATCAGTCAGCATCCATGGAGAGAGAGCAAGCTAATGTTACGTATCTAGACGACTTTTCATCAGAGCTGAAGTGAAGTGTGGACGGAACAGCATTTATGTTTTAGTTTCGGGGTGGGGGATGTGGGGGTAGTGGGTGTAGGGTGCTGTGGAGAAAGGATGTTGATAGTTCAGATTAAATGATCGCAATGTGAGAATGGCAGAACAATGGTTTGTCTCCTGCCATACCTGAAAGGACCGTAACTGACATGGGGGGAGGGGAAGACATGATAACAAGCTAAAAGAAAGGGAAGAAATGGTTCATAATTTAAAGGTATTGAACTCAGTATTAAGTCCAGAAGCTGTAAAGTGTCTAGTCTGAAGATGAGATGTTGTTCTTCCAGTTTGCACTGTAATTCACTGGAACACTACCGCATACGGAGGATAGACAAGTGGGTATGTGAGCAGAATGCTATGTTAAAATGACTAGTCACAGGAAGTTTGGGGTCCTGTTGCACAGACTGGAGGTATTCCACAAAGCAGTCTGCATTTGGTTTCTCCAATGTAAGGTAGGCCACGTTGGGTGCAGTGAACGCAATGCGCAAGGTTAGAGGAAATACAGGTGAAATGCTACTCCACTTGAAAAGGCTGTTCAGGCCCTTGGGTAGTGAGCAGGGAGGAAGTGAAGGGCAAGTGTTACATGGGAAGGTGCTGTAGAGAGGGGGAGTGGGGTTGGTGGTTGTGGAACCTCCTGTTTCACCATGGATGTCCAATCCTTCTATAATTCCATTCCCCATCTGGCTCGTCTGAGAGCTCTCGCCCTCTTCTTCAACCAAAGGCCTGAACAATCCCCATCCACCATCACTCTCCTCCACCTGGCTGACCTTGTTCTCTCACTGAACAATTTCTACTTTAATTCATCTCATTTCTGCCATGGGTCCGAGTTATGCCTGCCTCTTTATGGGACATGCGGAATGATCCTTGTTCCACACTTGTACTGGATATCTCCCACAACTCTCTTCTCGGTACATCTGCTTTGATGCCACTTCATGTTCCTGCCAGGAGCTTGAAAACTTCATTCATGTTGCCGCCAATTTTCACCCCGCCATAACTTTCACATCATCCACTTCAGACACTTCCCTTCCTTTCCTTGACCTTCCTGTCTCCATTTCAGGGAATATACTGTCCACCACGCTCCAATATAAGATCACTGACTCCCATAGCCACCTTCCCAACCGCTCATCACACCCCACGTCCTGCAAGGACTCCATCCCATTCTCCCTGTTCCTTCATCTACGTTTCATCTGTTCAGATGATGCCACCTTCCAAAACAGAGCTGCTGAAATGTCTTGCTTCTTCCATGACCTCCCACTCACTGTGGTTGACAAGCCCTCAACCGCATCTGAATTATCACCCGAGCTTCTGCCCTTGCCCCTTCCCGTCACTGACAACAGCATGATCGGGTTTCATTTCTCCTCACTTTTCATCCAACCAGCCTCTGCATTCAAAGGATCAGTCTCCACCATTTCAGACAAATCCAGCAGAATGCCACTACCAAACACATCTGTGGAGGAATCACCTAGAGAGCAGGCCATCTTCGACTGGGTGCTGTGTAATGAGAAGGGAATCATTGCCAATCTAGCTGTGCAAGACCCCTTGGGGAAGTGCAACCATAACATGATACAATGTTTTATCAAGATGAAGAGTGAGGTTGTTGATTCAGAGACTAGAGTGCTGAACCTTAATAAAGGAAATTACAAGGATATGAGGCCTTGATAGATTGGGGAGAGTTACTTAAAGGGATGACAGTGGATAGGCAATGGCAAACATTCAAGGAACGTATGGAGGAACTGCAACAACTGTTTATTCTCGCCTGTCCCAAAAGCAAAATGGGTAAGAGGACCAATCCATGGCTTACAAAGGAAATAAGAGATAGTATCCAATCCGAGGAAGAAACATACAGATTGGCCAAGAAAAATAATAAATCTGAGTAGTAGGAGCAGTTTAGAATTCAGCAAAGAAGGACCAAGGGATTGATTATGAAGGGGAAAATAGAGTATGAAAGAAAGCTTGCAGGGAACATTAAGACTGACACTATGAGTTTCTATAGATACATGAAGAGAAAGAAATTGGCAAAGAAAAATGTAGGTCTCCTACAGACAGAAATAGGGGAACGTATACCAGGGGGCAAAGAAATGGCTGAGGAACTGAATGCATACTTTTGTTCTGTCTTCACAAAAGAGGACACAAATTAGATACCAGAATTGTTGGAGGATGCAAGATTTAGTGAGAGGGAAGAATTGAGGGAGATCAATATTAGTAGAGAAATGGTGCTGGGAAAATTGTTGGGATTGAAGGCCAATAAATCCCCAGGGCCTGATAATCTACATCCCAGAGTATTTAAGGAAGTAGATCTAGAAATAATGGATGCATTGGTGGTCATCATGCAGGGTTCTATAGACTCTGGAACAGTCCCTGCAGATTGGAGGGTGGCTAATGTCCCTCCAATATTCAAAAAGGGAGGTAGAGAGAAAAAAGGGAATTATAGACCATTGAGCCTAACATCAGTAGTGATGAAAATTCTCGAATCCATTGTCAAGGACTTCATAGCAGAGCACTTAGAAAGCAGTGGCAGGATCAAACAGAGTCAACATGGATTTATGAAGAGGAAATCATGCTTGACAAATCTGTTGGAATTCTATGAAGGTGTAACTTGTAGAGTTGACAGGGCGGAGCCAGTCAATGTAGTATATTTGGACTTTCAGAAAGCGTTTGATATGAAAAATTAAAGCACATGGGATTGGGGGAAGTGTATTGAGATCAATAGGAAACTGGTTGGCAGAGAGGAAACAAAGAGTAGGAATTAATGGATCCTTTTCAAATTGGCAGCTAGTAACTAGTAGGGTCACACAGGGATTGGTGCGGGGAACACCAGCCATTCACAGTATATATTAATGATTTGAACAAGGGAACAAAATTTCACATTTCCAGGTTTGCAGATGATACCAAGTTGGGTGGGGAAGGTGAACTGTGACAAGGATGCAGAGATCCTTGAGCATGGTCTTGACAGGTTGGGCGAGTGGGCAAAT